GGTAAGAGCGTGCCTCAAAGGCCGCCCACGAAGCCCAGGAACTCCCACCCACACCTGGCTGTCCGGCTCCTTGGAATCTGACCCACCCTCTAAGGTCGCGTGCCTCAACGGTCTCCCACGAAGCTCAGAAAAGAAAACTCCAACACCTGGCCGCCTGGTACCTTGGAATCTGACCCACCCCCCTCTACCACTCACTTACTGCCTCTCCGCCACGCACCCCCTCACCCTCCCTGCTGCCACTCACCGAGCACAAACCAGTCGACCACGTCCGAGCAGGCAGGGTCGGCCAGGGAGCCCTGGTAGTGGATGTACGCATGTGAGGCGTCCTGGAAAGGGGTACAGAGGGAAGAAAAAGAGGGGTAGATGGGCAGAGGAGAGAGGTGGAGAGGGGTACAGACAGGTCTTAGGGGTGTGAGCAGGCAGGGTCAGCCAGGGAGCCCTGGTGGTGGATGTAGGCGTGTGAGGCGTCCTAAAGAAGAGAGAACAGAGCAATAGAGGGGCAGGAGGGAGGTTGAGAGTGGTGGCGAAGGGTGAGGCATTTACATTCTTATGTATCCGCCTATATACGTGCATATGCACATTTGCACAAGTCTAGGCATACCTGCCACAGAACATATGAAGAGGGGAAGAGAGGAAGATGGAGGTGTGGTGGTGCTTACGGGTCTGCCCTTGGGAGGCAGCAGCGGCTGGGGGCTGGTCTGCAAATACAGGCTACACAGGCACTGCAGCAGGGTGGCCGACCGACTGACTATATTGTAGTCACGTTTGAGAATTCCCAAAAGTGAGAGGAAGAGGGTGGTAATACTCACGGGTCTGTCAAGGGCTGGCAGCAGCGGCTGCGGGCTGGTCTGCACGCGCAGGCACTGCTGCAGCGCGGAGCGGGCACCCCCCCTGCCCACCACCGCCACCTCCAAACACTCCTGAGGGGAGGCACTGGGGGAAGAGCAGGGGAAATGGGGGGGGAAGCGGGGGAAGTGGGAGGAGGGGATGGGGAATGTGAGGAAAATCGGGGAGAGAGAGAGAGAGAGAGAGAGAGAGAGAGAGAGAGAGAGAGAGAGAGAGAGAGAGAGAGAGAGAGAGAGAGAGAGAGAGAGAGAGAGAGAGAGAGAGGCAGGGTTGAGAGGCAGGGGCCTGTCTCGGCCCCTTGCCTACCACCGCCGCCACCTCCAGACACTCCTAGGGCCCGCTCTGAGGGGGGTGAGAGTGGATGGGGATGCATCATGCATGAAAGGGCGTTGGGGGTTTGCGGGGGAGAGAGCAGCAGGGACCTGCCTCTGCCCACCACTGCCACCTCCTCACACTCCGAGGAGCTGCTCTGTGAGCAGCGGGAGGGGAGGGTAGATAGGGGGAAGGAGTGAGGAGAATACGAGGAAAATGGGGAGAGGGAACAGCAGGGACCTGCCTGTGCCCAGCACCACCAACTCCTAACACTCCTGGGGCGCAGCTCCGAAGGAGGGCCAAGAGGGGAACGGGGGGGGATGGGAGCAGGAAACGGTGGGGGGGGGGGTGGGGGAGGGCATGGGAGAGCGAGCAAGAGGGGCCTGCCAAGGCCCATTGCAGGTACACTCGCTGACACCTCTGGGCGGGCGCACTGGTGTGGGGAGAAAGGTGCAGGAGGCTGCGGGAGAGGGTGTGGGGGGAATGTGGCGGAGGGAGGGGAGGGGAGGGGCGAATGGCAGAGCAGCCATGAAGCACGGGTTGGGAGGGAGGGGCATGCTGTGTGCCGCCATGTCTGCATTGCTGCTTCCACCTTTCATCACGTGTTCTCTGCCATGCTTCCCTATCCCATTTCACCCCTATCCCACTCTCCCATCACGTGTTCTATGCCATGCTCTTTCCTGGCCTCATCACAGCACTCCCATCCCGCCTGCCGCTCACATCTGCTTGTTCTTCTCGCCTGGGGCGAACAGCAGAGCCGCATCCAGACCACACGCAGGGTGCACTTGTTTCTCTGCTGTGTTTGCCTCCCTCTCGCCCTTTCTCACCTCGCCTCATCGCACTGTTTCCATCGCGCCCACCACTCACATCTGCTTGTTCTTCTCCCCCGGCGCAAACGCCAGAGCCGGCTCCAGGCACTGGTTGTTCTTGAGTCGACTCAAAAGCTGGTTGTTCTTGTTGCTCTACTACTGTGCTGCTGCTGTGCTCGCCTCTCTCTCCCCCTCTCCTGGCCGCATCACAGAGCTCCCCCATCACGCCTGCAGCTCACCCACACCCCCCCGCCACTCACATCTGCTTGTTCTTCTCCCCCGGCGCAAACGCCAGAGCCGCCTCCAGGCACAGGTTGCGTGGGGCCCGCGGGTCCGCCTCTATCATCACTCTGGCGAGAGGGGAGAGGGCGGAGGGGAAGGGGAGAGGGGGAGCGGGAAGTGGGGGGAGCCTTCAGGGGGCAGTGGGGGAACGCCCTCACTCTGGGGAGGGGGGGGAGGAGCAGGGCGTTGGGTGGGCGTTGGGGGAGCGGCGTGTTTGTGGGACGTTCGTGGGGGGATTGGCAGAGGATTGAGGTGCGTGTGTGTGTGTGTGCATCAGCGGGGCATTGGAGAGGCAGGCAAGAACGGATCATGTGAAGCCGTGCAACGCGGGTGCAGCATCACGATTCATGAACTAGCAGTGAGCCACGTGACTAAAAACGAGCGGCAGCAGCATCACCAGCACGCGGTGGCGACTCACCCAATGACTGCCAGCTTGCCGTCAGCATCGCCTGCAGGGGAACGAGGTGGGGAGAAGGAACGGGAGAGAAAGCCGTGAGAGGGACGGGGGGAAGGAGAGGCGCACATTGCCCATAAAAAATGTAGCAGGGAATCAACCACCGCTCTCCACCCCCCCTCTCCCAATCGCGCATGATCCATGATGGCCAACGAAACGCGCCCCCTGTTGAAACGCCACAGTACAACTCGATACAGTCCCTTCGTTACAGCGACGCGAGGTGCACGAGGTGCGCCCCCATGGGGCAGCGCACGCCGTTGAAGGAATAAAGAAGGTGCCACCCGCTACAATCGCTAGCTACATTCCCTCGCTACAATCCCCTCCTACAGTCACTCGTTACAGTCACTCGCTACACGTACGGTGCACGAGGTGCGCCTCCATGGGGCAGCGCACGCCGTTGAACGAGTGCTCGCTGGGCGCGTGGAAGTGGTACTGTAGCAGCTGCAGCTGCCGCCCGCCCACCGCGCACGTGTTGCTGCCACCCGGGAAGTTCACCTGCGGGCGGCAGAAGCGGATGAGAAGGGGGCGAGAGGAAAACGGGAGTGAAAATGGGAGAGGACGGGGGAGAGAGGGGGAATGAGGGGGAAAGTGAGGGGGGTGAGGGGTTGAGAGGAGGAGAAAGGACGGGTGAGAGGGATAGAGAGCAGCGAGGAGAATGAGCGCATGGCACGACTTCCGAGACGTCTCAAAAATCTCAACGACTCGCCTGCATTGTGCCGTGCCCCGTGTTCAAGAACGACGCGTCGGCGTTCTTATACGCGAATGTGATATTGCCGAGGCTGTTGTCTCTCGTCAGCTTTGACACCGCGTTCAGCGGACCGCCGGTTGCGGACTGCGCCGCGTCGCCCGCCGAGCACAGCTCGCCCCACTCCATCGGCCCGGAAACGTCCTTGCTCGAATCGGCGGCCAATGCGGCTCCGATAGAGGATCCCCCGTTAGAGTCACAGATGGGACAACCCACGACCGCAGCCATTCCCGCCGCCAGTCCTCCGAGGATCAGCCGCCGATTGACGACGCGCGGCCCAGTGTGGCCGTGGTAGGCGCTTTTGGGCTCTGCGGCCGCCTTCCCGTCTTTAGCGGCGCAGCGGACGGCAATGGCGGGAGCGTTATTGGCGGATGTGAGGGGAGCTGCGCAGGCGGCGAGGCTGAAGGGCCGGCCGAGCATCTCGCATTTCTCCAGCGAAGATTGGACGCAAGCAGCAAGCGGCGCGCGAAGCGACGACGAGGTGGCAAGAGCAGCCATTGAGGCAACAAAGGGAACCGGGCTTCACGGAGAAGAACTGATCGTCTAGATCTTAGCTGTCCTTTACTTGTCAGCACTCATCAATGCTTCTTTCACTTCAGGTTTTAAGTTGTGCCAGAAAGGGTCCGTCCAAGTGGCTTGAGTTGCACCAAGCGTTGGAGATTAAAGGGCAGTGCGTAGCTTCCTTCCAAAAAACACTCAGCGTAACTATTGCTGGGGTACTTAGAAGTATGCGCTCACGTGATGGAAAGACAGGGGAATGAATAGGAAATTTCGGTTTTTCTTGCAGCATCGCTAAGCGTCGTCACGAGAACTCTGGGTGTCGACAAAATGAAATTTCTTCCAGTGCCAGCCATATCAAGGTCATGAGCTTCGCGAAATCTACGGCTCTCAGATTGCTTTCAGCCAGTCGATCAATATCCGACATCCGTTTACGAAGCGCGCATTCGATGTGATGGCCATGTCATCAGGAACAAGCAGATCGATCTCCACGTGGTATACCCTGCGTACTGCAAGGCTTCGCTACCGCTTTTAAATTCACATGAAAAAGAGTTCGCCATGTTGTGTAGTGTATTGTACCATCAGAATTCCATCCGCGCAATCATGGAGACTTCGACCGGCATAAACTTGAAATTACTCTCCCACATCCCTGTGATTGACTCGTCTGTGCTGGCAACACCTCGCTTGAATCACCATTTCCCCCTCCACGCAGTGGTGGAGAATCCGCGGCACGCGGGACCGGGGGAACGTTCGCCAAGCATTTCGTGTGTCGAATGAAGGTGACCCACGTGTTCAGTCTTGAGTTGTGCAAAGTCGCGCCACCCCAGATTCAACCAGGCTCCTTGGAGTTGTCACTCGTGTGGTCTGGGGTGTGGGCTGGGCGGGATCTTTCATTTCAAGCAGTGCTCCAACCAAAATAAGGGGGTAAGAAGCTAAACTAGCACGAGAGTAGCGAACTCTTGCTGTTTCGAAGGCATGATTAGTAGGTTGATCTGATTGACCTTGTCGATCCCCTCGGATCTGCCACGCCCAGTACCGAACTTTCGGCTCAACCATGGCGTCTAGCGCTTTCGAAACGTACTGGAAGGTAGGATTAAGTCAAGGTTATCTTGGGAGCAGACGCGTTTTCGTCGGCTTGGTATCTGACGTGAACGGCATCCTCTGCAGGTCCTGACTGACAACTTCACAGACTTCCAGCTGGCGACCATTGGAAGTTTTCTGATCCATGAGTGCGTCTTTTTCATGTCTGGCCTGCCTTACCTGATACTCGAGAATTTAAATGTCCGAAAATACAAACTCCAGGTGCGTCACCATCCCGTGATCCTTTGTGGTATGGCTCCGCTAGCAACTACGGGTAGGATCTGAGCGTCGTTTGTTTCCATTGCAGAAAAAGTCGAACCCGGCGTCGTCACAGATCAAATGCGTATTGAAGCTGCTGATGTACCATTGCCTGGTCAACCTACCACTGATTATGGCGTCCTACCCGGTTTTCAAGTACATGGGCTTCAGAAGCACGCTTCCCCTCCCGCACTGGTAATGCTTCCGCTCTCTTTGCAGTTTGCATGGGTAGATCGCCTCGTCTAGTTGGTAAGCTTTCTCACCTTTCACGACGGCGCTTGCAGGAGTACCATCGTTACCCAGATCGTGAGCTATTTCTTTATCGAGGATTTCGTGTTTTACTGGGGTCACCGTGCGCTGCACTCGAAATGGCTGTACCAGAACGTCCACTGCGTCCACCATGAGTGAGTGCCGCTGCCAGTCGCTCCCCGCTACTCTCCCTCCGCCCCCTCATGCTAAGTCTCCTTTTCCTCGCCCTTTTGAGACTTCAGATACGCGACGCCGTTCGGGTTGACATCGGAGTACGCGCATCCCGCAGAAATCCTCTTCCTAGGGTTCGCCACCATTCTCGGCCCCGCCCTCACGGGTCCGCATCTGCTCACCCTCTGGCTCTGGATGAGCCTGCGAGTCCTCGAAACCGTTGAAGCACACAGCGGATTCGAGTTCCCCTGGAGTCCGTCCCGCTTCATTCCCCTCTACGGCGGGTACGTTCATTTCACATCAGATTATGCAATTATACCTTCGCCTCTACAAAGTCCTCTGAGCGTGTCATGCGACTCGTGATGGCTGCAGGGCGGAGTACCACGACTATCATCACCGCTGCGTGTACACAGACTCCGGCAACTATTCGTCCACGTTCATCTACATGGACTGGTATGTGGGCTTGGATTGCTCGCACATACGGTATATGTCCCATGTTGCCCGCTGATATCAAGCTATGCGTTGCGCAGGATCTTTGGAACGGACAAGAACTACAGGAGAATGAAGGCTTTGAAGGCAGGCAGTGCCAAGGACGAGGCTCCTACTACCAATGGCACGAAGAAGGACTCTTAGGCTTGAAATTTACTCTTTAGACTGTAACTTTCCGTTGCAATCTCTGAAAGGCGTAGTGATATCCACGCCGTTGTTGGGGACGTGTTAGATGGCTTGTTCATGCAATTACAGACTGTTTGAGTCACCCACGTCACTCCTTTTTTCCCATGCATACCAAGCAAGACACAATGTGGGGCAGTAAGTCCCTAGAGCCGTCTCAATCTGCTGCCACCTCCTTACTCCCGATTGTTCATACATCTCAATGTAAAAGAACCGGAACTGTATGATTGAATGCTGTCATGCCATGAGGGGAGATGGCGAGCACAGAGTGGGTAGAGTTGCATGTGGTAATCGAGTTTCTCATAGCATGCTGGGTGAGGAGGGGAAGGGGAAGGAATGGATCCAAGGGGACAATTCGAGGCTGGGATGGGTGAGGCTTTTGGATGGTGGAGATCTGGGTTAGCTGAGGGGGGACGAGGGCTTGGATTTAAGGTGCCTATACGACAAGGTTGGTGCTGATATACCCAAGGATTCAGTAGATAGGATATAATCTTTAAGTCTGTGATAAGACAATAAAGTCTCTGTAGTGACCTTGTTGAATAATGATTGAAAGAAAACAAGATGATTGAAAGTGTCAAATATTATAGCCTGTAGTGGGTTGGGCTATATGGGGTACAACTAGTTAGGGTTAGGTTATGTACCCCAATTCTGTCAATACAACGCATTCCGCTGTAGTTCTCATTCTGACATGGTATCAGCAGTAGGTTAGCGCTCCTAGTCCTAGGCCCGCCCTTCCCTACCACTAGGGTTACCACTGCGCCCTGCCAGCCCGCCAGCGCCCTACCCCACGCCCCAGCCGGCGCGCCCCTCCCCTCCCCGCCCTTAGCCAGCGCGCCAGCCAGCCAGCGCGCCAGCAGCCAGCGCGCCAGCCAGCCAGCGCGCCAGCCAGCCAGCGCGCCAGCCCGCCAGCGCGCCAGCGCGCCAGCCAGCCAGCGCGCCAGCCAGCCAGCGCGCCAGCGCGCCAGCCAGCCTGCGCGCCAGCCCGCTTGCACGCCAGCCCGCCAGCGCGCGCCCTGCTTAGCCGCCCGCCAGCGCGCCGCGCCCGCGCGCCACGCCAGCCAGCGCGGTGCGCCGGAGCGCGCCCCGCCAGCGCGCGCCCCACCGCCCCGCGCCCAGCCAGTGCGCGCCCCGCCTGCGCGCACCCGCCTCGCACTCACCTCCCTCTCCTCCTCCTCTCGCGGCTGGCGGCCGCTATCACTTGTCCTCGCCCCTCATGGCGACGTCTCGCGTGCTCCGTTTCGACCCTGAGGGGCGTGCGATCGACTTTAGTACCTGGCTGACGCAGGCCCAGCGCCACCTTAGGAGCCAGCGCCAGGATGGTGTGCACCTGTTTGCGCATGCGTCCGGTGCTCTGCCCGCCCCGCCGCAGCCTTCACCGCTGCCCACTTCCCCACCGCCTACTTCCGAGCAGGAGGCTGAGTACCAGCGCCGGTTCCTCGCTCGTGACGTGTGGGAGTCTCGTGACGCTGCTGCCTGCCTCGCCCTGACCGACCTTCTCCCGCCAACTGAGGCTGTCCACTTCACTCAGGTCGAGTCTGCTGCAGACCTTTACACTGCTATTGTTGCTCGCTACTCCACTCCCTCCTTTGCCTCCCTCAGCCGCCTCCTCGTCCCCTTTATCTACCCTGACCTCGCCTCCTTTGAGACTGTCGCTGACCTCGCTACCCACCTGCGCTCCCTTGAAGCTCGCTTCAAGGCCGCTTGCACTGAGGAACAGCTTGCCCTTGCACCCCCCCCCATGTGGCTCACTATTCACTGGTTAGTCACTCGCCTCCCTGACCGTCTAGCCACAGCCCGCGACGCGCTTCTCCTGAAGCACCCCACTGAGCTTACTATCGATCTTCTTGAGACCGCTCTCTCGAAGATCGAGAGTTACCTCCTCGCTGTTGCCTCCGCCTCTTCCGCGCCTCCTCCTCGTCTCTTTGAGGGGTGTGCGGTACCACAGCTTCCCACCTTCACTGCCTCGCTTGCCACTGCCGCGTCTTCTGCCTCTGAGGAGACGGCGGCCGTTTCTGTCTCTGGCGGACAGAAACGTGGCAAGTCCGGCAAGAAGGGAGGGAAGGGCGGCGGGGGTTCTGGGGGTGTTGCGGGTGGCGGCGGTGGCGGTAGTACTAGTGGCGGGGGTGGCGGCGGGGGTGACTCGGGACTTGACGGCTCTCCTCTAGACGGTGGTGAGGGGTTTTCGCAGCAGCAGCAGCAGACTCCTCCGCAGCTGCCACCGCCTGGACAGCAGCAGCGGTAAGGACAGCAGCAGCAGCGCCAGGGCCAACAGCAGCGTCCGCCTCAGCAGCAGCCCCAGCAGTGGGGCACTCTGCAGCAGTGGGGCACTCAGCAGCAGTGGGGCCCTTCGCAGCAGTGGCCCCCCCCGCAGCAGTGGAGACCTACGGGCCCCCCGAGCACTGGGCGCAGTGGTGCCCCTTCTAGTCGGGGACCCCGCTCGGCCGGCCGCGACGTTGGTCCCTGTGAGTACTGGATCCTGACGGGTCCGCGCAGGGGCACGTACTGCGGCCGCCCTGACCACTCTGCTGCACGCTGCTTCAGCCGTCTTGACGACCTGTACGTCCTGCACCACGGTCCCTCCGCTCCCCCGCCACCGCGCTGGGGACCACTCCTTGCTCGTGGTGTTGCTGTGTTTGATATGTCTATGGATGATGCTAGGTCTTATGCCATGTATGCTGATGTTGACTATAGTGCTGTCGGATCTGTTTACTTGCCTGTACTTAGCGTAGGATCTTTGCCTGTTGCTAGAGTAGGTGCTGGTGTAGGATCCTGTCTAGCTGCTAGTACAGGTGCTCCCTCGGCGGACGCGTCGCTCTCCTTCACACTCGACTCCGGAGCGACGCAGTGCTTCTTCCGCGACAGCACGACTCTTACTCCACTCTCGGCGCCGATTTCTGTAGCACTGGCCGATCCCTCTTCGGGACCGGTCATTGCGACTCACGCCACTACCCTCCCGTGCCCAGCTGCCCCTTCCGGTTCTCTGACCGGCCTCCACGTTCCTACTTTCTCTAGGAACCTGGTTGGTGTGGCTCCTCTGGCGAGACAGCACGTCGGGGTCTGGTTTGAGCCTTCGGGTGACACTGCAGTCTGTGTGGACGGTGACACGTACGCCCCTCTGGCCACTTTTCGTCAGGAGCCGGGCTCTGGTCTGTACACCCTCCACATCGACACCCGTCCGGTTCCCCCGTCCCACCAGGTAGCCAGGTCCAGTCAGGTAGCTGTGCCAGGTCTAGTGGCTGCGTCGTGCTCGTGTCGGTCGCTGTCCCACCCTGCCCTCCTCTGGCACCACCGCCTTGGTCACCCGTCCCTCTCTCGTCTCCGCACTATGTCCAGTCAGCGTCTTGTCTTAGGCCTCCCCCGCGACCTCCCGCCGCTCCCGCCGTCCCCCGCTCCTCCGTGCGGTCCTTGTGTCCAGGGTCGGCTGCGCGCCACTCCTCACTCCTCCTCCCTTCGTCCAGCCTCCGAGCCCTTTGAGACACTCCACTTAGACGTCTGGGGCCCCGCTCCACGGCTTGGACCTGAGCGAGAGAGCTTCTTCCTAGTGGTCGTTGACGACTACTCTCGGTACACCACCGTGTTCCCTTTGGCGAAGAAGTCCGACGTGACTTCTACGCTGATCCGGTGGCTGCTCGCCACCGAGAGTACTCGTCGTCGTCGTGTCAGTTGTCTCCACTCCGACCGTGGGGGTGAGTTTCGCTCCGGCATTCTTGCCAGATTCTGTGCTGAGCAGGGCATCACCCAGTCCTGGACTCTTCCAGACTCTCCACAGCAGAATGGGGTTGCTGAGCGCCGGCTAGGCCTGGTCATGGAGATTGCCCGCACCTCCATGATCCACACCCGCGCGCCCCATTTTCTGTGGCCCTACGCGGCTCGGTACGCCGCTCACCAGCTGAACCTCTGGCCTCGCGTCTCTCAGCCAGGGGCTTCACCGACCAGTCTTTGGACAGGGTCCCCTGGTGTTGCGTCGAGGTTTAGTGTTTGGGGCTGCTTGGCGCTTGTCCGCGACACCTCTGCGGACAAGCTCTCACCTCGCGGCGTCCCCTGTGTCTTCCTTGGTTTCCCTGAGGCCTCCTCTGACTTCACCTTTTACCACCCTCCCTCCCACCGGTTCTTTGACTCTCGTGACGTCAGTTTCGACGAGTCCGTCCCCTACTACGTCCGGTACCCCTGTCGAGGTCTCCCGGTTCCCCCCCCTCCCCTCTTCCTCGCCCCAGCTCCTCCTCCTCCCGCTCCCTCTCCTCCGGTACCCCCCCCGGTTCCCGCTCCGTCAGGTGTGTCGCAGGCTACCCCCCCTCCCTCGGTCCCCCCCCAGGTCTCTCCTCCTTCCCCACAGTCGTCCTCACAGCCTCCGCAGCAGCCGTCGGCGCTTCCTCTCCCGGCCACTGCGGACTCTGAGGGTGTTGGTGCTCGAGGTGAGGGCTCTGGCGGTGCCGGTTTTTGGGGTGTTGGAGTTGGAGCTGAGCGTGCACCTGCCGCAGCTGCACGTCCCGAGCGTGTTGGAGTCGGTGGTGGTGCTGGAGCTGGTGGTGTTTCTGGAGCTGGAGAGTCTGGGGCTGGTGCTGGTGCCACTGGCGGCGCCACGACTGGGGGTGCGGGTACACCTCCTACAGGTACTGGTCGTGCTGCCGCAGGGGGTCCTCGCTCTGGGGGTGCTCAGCCGGGTCCTGTCGAGGGTGGAGCCGGTTCTTCTTCGTCGTCTCCTGACACCACTCCTCCTCCTCACCCCTACCCGACTCGTTACCAGGCCCTTCGTCTTCTAGAGCGTGAGGAGCAGCAGCGTTTGGAGCGTGAGAGGTCGGAGGTTCAGCAGCGGGTGGAGCGTGAGCGGTTGGAGTTTCAGCAGCAGCAGCAGCCGCAGCCACAGCCAGCGCAGCAGCAGCAGCAGCCGCCGCAGCTGCCGGAGCAGCCTTCGGCCCCTGTTTCTGGCCTTCGGGCCCTTGGTCTCCCCTCCTCTCCTCCTG